ATCCTAATTGAAACACGCAGATTTATTATATTTTTTTTAAATATAATTTCAAAATAAAATAAACAAAATCTGCAGTTCATTCTTTATTAAATTTATTTAAAAGAAGACAAACATATATTTCAGAAAATTCAATACCTACATATGAAAAATAAACTGTCAAAAATGATTAAATTATTATACTTAATATTTATACATGTGATAAAATTCTTAGTTTCCTAATAACTTTTTTGGCACATTTTATATCTGTATTAGAATACATAAGTGTGTAAAAAATCTTCATCTTATTACTACACAAAACAAACACCATGAAATATCACTTAACATTGCTCACATACTAAACACAACTTGGACTGACTTTGACAGATAACATTATTTTGAGTGATACACAACTTATTTTCGCACATGCGCGTTACAAAACGGTTCACTGAAAACACCAAGCTGTCGCTTCTCCTTGATCGGTATTCTCGGGTTTAAATGCACATTGCATGTAATGGTTGCAGGTTTTAATAAGGCATTTGATTGTTATGTGTTAACGGAAACATACAAACTTTATAACCCTGAAATGTTCTCTTTACCTGGTTATAATCTTATCTATCAGAGGGAAATTTAAACAGAGCAGATGGGGTAGTCGTATATATTAAAAACAATTTGACATACAACTATAAAATCGTATCTCTAAACAATATAAACGCACTAGAAATAGTTATCCATAAATTGAACCAATCATTTAAATTATTAGAAATTTATAGATCTCCCAGTACATGTTAATTCCAATTCAATCAGGATCTATACAAATATTTAAAGCAAAATAAGCAAAAAAATCACATAAATATAATCGTTGGAGACATGAACATTAATATCTTGGAGGAAACTGATGTAAGTCAAGAGTATTTAAATATTTTGCATAAACATGGATACATATCAGTGATTAATTCACCCACGAGAATACAGGGTAACAGTAAAACCTGCCTGGATCATTTTCATGTTAATACAAGCGAATCCTTAGAAAATATAGTACCCACAGTACTCTGGTCCTCAATTATTGATCACTTCTCTCAAATTTTACAGTATCCATCAAATCTGAAAGATTCAAGTCAAAACAAATATCATAAAGTACTATGTGATTACAATTCATTACATAAAATATTACCACAGGAAAATTGGATAGATATTTATTCTTCCATAAATATTAATAAAATGACAGATATTTTTATTACTAAATTAAAATATTATATAAACTCAAGCAGTCGGGTAATAAAGATCAACCGTTCTCACGTCAAACGTAATCCTTGGATTACACATGGTTAAGTAACATCTATTAATATTAAGAATTCTTTATATAAAACAGATAAACAACAACCAAACAATACACAAGCCTTAAAAGAATTTAAAATATACAAAAACCAACTAAATGCAGATCATTTAATGCCAAAACTGACTACTATAAAAATGAAATTAGTAAAAATATGAATTCCTCAGAACATATGTGGCAAGTTATAAAAAATATTCAAAATCATGGTAAAACACAGGAAATATGTGAAATAAAACAGAACCACATAAATATAATAAACAAAACAGAAATTGCAAATGTATTTTAATAGATATTTTACAGGAGCAGGTAGCATTCTTGCAAAAAAAAATTAAAAAGTCATCTAGGAAATTCAATGAAAAAAGAATAGCTAACTACATATATATTTAGAACCTGTGGAAGAACAGGAGGTGGTTAAAATTATAAAAGATTTAAAACCAAACAAAAACGCCTGGACTAGACCAAATTCCTTCTGAGGTTTATAAAAGATGTGTACATTATTTAAAAAATCCACTGACTTATATAGCAAATAACATTTTTACTACTGGAATATTTCCTAATTCTCTAAAAAATGCAGTTATAAAACCACTATATAAAGCTGGGGATAAAAGTGAAATGTCAGACTATAGACCCATATCGATCCTCTCCAGTATGAGTAAAATAATAGAAAAACTAATTAAAGTCAGATCGTGTAATTTTATAAACAAATAAAAATTATTGTCTTCTAAATAATATGGGTTTGTGGAGGGGAGGTCTACCGAAGATGCAATAGCTGACATAACATCCAAAATATACAAATCTATAGACACAAAAATGCCTGCGATTTGTATCTTTGTAGATCTCGCCAAAGCATTTGACACGGAGAATCATCCAGATTTATTAGAAACGTTTAATACCTTAGGCATCAGAGGAGTAGCCTATCAACTACTAAAGAGCTACCTAACTGATCGAGACCAGTATATCAGTGACATTATAAGTGATAAGCAATTAATACAATTTGGCATTCCCCAAGGTATGCATTAACACATTCGGAATATTACTGGTGTAAATTATATACAGTAAAGGACCTAAAATTGTACCTTGAGGAACTCCTCTTTTTATTCTATTCACATTTGAAATGTCATTAAAGAAGCTTACTGGTTGAGTGCTATTATTAAAATAATTTTTAAAAAGCTCTACTGCAGAATTACTGAAATCTATGTTCCCTGTATACCACCTACATTTTACAAAATATGTTTAATTATGAATTTCTAAGTGATGCAAAACTTTTTAACAAGAATATTTTTTTTGTGAAAGACAATACTGGACAATACTAGATTTCATTGTTTTAGTTATCACAAATTTGCAAAAAAAGAATTTGGTGAATTTTCCTTCCACGCTCACGATGTAATTAAGATAAAATAACAAATTCTTTAAGAAATTTAACAACTTCATTTTTAAAATCATTTTTGGAATATTAAATAAGTATTCTTTGCTTATTTCCGAAAAGTTTTATTAATGTGGGTTGAGCTGGAGAAAATTTTTCTTCGGAAATAATAATTTGATTTTTTCCAAAATTTACAGGACAAGCTATATTTGGGATGCCTATTATAGGGTTTTCTAGGTTAGAATGTACGGTAGCGTTTATCATCTAATTGATCATTTTCTAAATTCTCGACATTTCCGACTTCGACTATTAATGATTCCGAATTGTCGTCATTTTTAAAATCCTTATTAAAACCATCTATTTAATCGAGTAGAGCCTTTGAAGTACCTGGCTGATTTTCGATTTCATTTAAATTTAATTGTATTCTAGATAAGGCGTCGCAATTTTTATTAAGAGTACCCTTTTTATATACTATTTCATAATCATATTCAGCAAATTTTAGACGCCACCTAACAAGTTTAGAGTTGGGCTCCTTCAAAGAGAACAACCACTGAAGAGCTTTTGCGTCAGTATATACCCAAAACTTTTTTCCAAAAAGATAACACCGGAAGTATTTTACTACCCATACGATAGCGAACATTTCTTATTCTATAATGGAGTAAGAAATCTCTGACCTATTTAAAGTTCGGCTAGCATAAGCTACTGGTAAGTCGCTGCAACATTATTTGCATTAGTAGAAAAAATACTGCGAAAAATCAGGATATTGCAGGATAGGTTCGTTGATTAAAAGTGATTTGCAAAGTCACACTCTACATAATTCGGATCTGTAATATTAATTACAGCTCCTTTCTTTAAACGTTTAGTTAGCGATTAAGTAATTTTTGAGAAATTTTAAATGAATTTTCTGTAATAGTCCAAAAGTCCTAAGAATCCGATTATTTTTTCAGGAGTTGGTTTTACACTTTCAGGGTTAACAATGTGGCCTAAATATGTTACTTCATTTCTTAAGAATTCACATTTATCCAACTGTAATTTAAAATTTGACTTTCTTAATCTATCAAATACTTCTTTTAAGCGGGTTATATGTTCTTGCAAACTAGTACTGAAAATTCTAATATCATCTAGATATACTAAACAGGATTTATTTTGTATCCCACGTAGGATATTATCCATTATTCTTTAGAGTCCAGAGGGCATTTGAAAAGGTTCAAATTTAATCATTTTGTTGAAATATCTATCAGCAGTTTCAGCTAATACAAATGATCTAGTACTGCCTGTATCGATTAGAACTTTTAAATAAAATTCAGGAAAAATTATATAGGGTAATTCGTTTTCATTGTTTGTTAAATTAAATAATTCAAAATTTTTATACTGTTTTTCCCGACGCAATTTTCCCTAAAAAATTGTCTTCGGTATCTTCAGGAATTTCAACTAATGGTTGTTCATCTATAGTGTGTAATTCTTGTATACATATGGATTTATATGTAAGATAGTTGGATAGGTAACCTATTTTGAAACTGCCAAATATTTAAGGTACTGTTTTCAGGTCGATGATTTAATTTGAAACCAAATGTAGAGAGAGGATCTTAGATCCATCAACTGCTCAAATAAATCTCCCACTAGGAGCGTGCTCTCACTTAAAAAACATTCTTAAAAAGTTACAATACTCATACTCGTATAACACAAAAAATAATACAAAACCTTAAAGAAAATAACTATTTTTTGACCTTAATAAAGTTTCCTGTTTAGAGTCAGGATAAAAAATAAGAATGCCATGGGAACTACAGGTAGTCAGGCACATAGTGACATTAGTTATCTCACTTATTACTTATGGTATAATTATAATTTTAAAAAATCACAAGAATCCTTAAGTCTTTGCCTCATAATAATCCAGAATATGTATTAAATTTTGTAGTTCAATCATTATAAAATACGACTTAATAAGTTACGAAATAGTATTAGCCATATAATACCAACAAAAGTTGTGTATTTGTACAAAACAAAGTAAGATTAATAGCCATTAAAATTGTGTTACATCGGAACGAACTTCCCACATTATTAATGAAGCTAATTAAAGCTGCCATATCTTGTACACGAGTTGCCGCATTTTCCAATAATTAGTCCAATCTAAAGGTAGGATTGACTTGAAGATTAGTTACGCCAGGCAGGATTTTCCAATCAATATACTCCTTCGTTAAAGGAGTAAAAAAAGATTTTTTTGATAGAAACTTTTTAAAAGTTAAATACATCAACTCAAAAAAGAAAATCATTAAATTCAATATAAAAACGATACTTTTCTTATATGTTTTTATTGTTTTCAACTAGCCAGAAATTATTCGACGTATGGGTTATCCAGTTGTTACTTACAAGGTCCAGACTCCAGATGGATACATTCTAACAATGTTCAGGATACCGAACGACCATTCCAAAAATCCAAATGCGCGGTATCATCCTATATATTTACAGCATGGATTGGTGGCAACATGCGCCACGTTTTTAGGCAAAGGAAAAGATTCTTTAGGTAAGTTAAGTAACAATTTGATATTTTATTTCTTTATTAAACAAGAAAAGACTAATACAAAGTTGTACTCTTTAATGCGCTTTATATTGTATTTAATCTACACAGATCTATCAGCAATCAATATTTCGGAAGATATCTTCTAGATGGAAGATTTGCTGGTTCGATTTCGCCAGGTACATGATACCAAACTTATTTTTTTTTGTCAAACTCTTTATTTCTTGAATTAAATTAAAAACAAAAAGTTTCCATTGTTTTTTCATTCAATCCAACCACCAATAGATAGATATTACTTTTATTCCAATATCTGCAATAACCATTTCTATCAATCTAGTTCCTAGGAATATGTTTGCAATATTCAAAACGTTTGTCAGTACCAGGAAGGGTAGCTGGAATTAATCTTTTCTTCTTATGCTTCTCGCCTCCTGTTTCATTATTTTCTAAATCAGTTATTTCCTCAAACTGATGTGCCCCCCCTTAAAAACTCGCCAACTGCTATACGAAATGTCAAAAAATCAATGATATCCTTTCTTTGAAAATTGTTTGATTTGCAGTCTTCAACATACTTCATCCAACTATTTACTAAAGAGAGATCAAACAAATGTATTATGACTTTAAACAGCCATTTTCGCGTCTTGAAGAAAGTTCTGTAACACTCGTATCATTTGATCACAGACATCCACTCCTCCCATTTTTTTGTTGTAGGTATAAATGACGTTAAGGCAGCTGACTTCAACAAACTCTCATTCAATTTTGTTCCAGCGTTTCACAGTGGTTTCTGGTGTACAAAAATTGACAATTTTTTTGAGAGAAGTAAATCTAGACTTAGCTATACTTGAATCCTCTAGCTAGACTGTCTAAACATATGACAGTAGCGTAGACCTAGTGGCAAATATCACAGAAAACCTGCAAAATCAAATTGTTATTATCACCTGTTAGAATCTAACGTGGAATTGTTAAAATTATTAAAATTTGTATCTGATTTGGCGATTCTACAAAACCTAATTTGGACTAGATGGTGCTGGAGAAATTGTTCCTAACATTCATTAATTGTTCGTTAATATACTTAAACTTTTCTTCAGCGATATCTAATTTTGGACACAACAGCAAAATGTCTCCATTTTAAATAAAATCTGCATTTTTTCGAAATATGTTCAACCCTTAAGTTGTAGCAAATGCAATCTTTTCTTCTCTAATTACCTCCTTATCTAGAAATACATAAAAAAGACCTTTTTATATTAAATTTTAATTTCTATTATAATCCTTACAATATTCTCTTACATTTCTAGTTGTATCCTGAAACGTTGGCTTAATAATTATTATGAATAAATTATAAACCAACCACATTTAGAAGGTTAATGTCTAAGAACCTTTCATGGAACTACAGCTTTAAAAATTCATATGTTTTTTAACATTCACCTGAATGATTTATTAGATTGTGCTTAACCTACGTGTTATTCATTGGAATATTTATTGTCCTACATAAGGATATTATTTAATGCAATGAATTATTTTAATTTTAATTAATGGCCCATTTGTACAGGGTTACTTGAGTGCTTTTAATTGGCAACTCTTGCATGAAAATAAAGCAAATTAAAATATAACAGCTGTTATATTTTTTATGTATTTTCTAATAGATCCTGTAAAAAATGTTTATTACAAACAATGTAACTAGTAAAATACAATATAGGTACTTGGCAACATTGTATCTATGTATTAACGACACCTGTCATCTGTCGAGATAAAAACCAATAATTTACTTTAAGATTCCATTCTGTTATTGAGTAAAGGATAATATTTAAATGTCAAATAATAATTCTTTTTCTAGCGTTTGTGCTGTCTGATGCTGGATACGATGTTTGGCTGGGAAACTACAGAGGAAACGCCTATTCTGAGGAGCACATCAATTTGACAGTTTATGATCAAGAATACTGGAACCATGGGTACGTATACAGAGGGAACCTTAAGTTAATAGTTCTTCTTCAGCTCTATATACAAATCATTAAAATAATTTATATTTTTAAATATTTTTTTCAAAAGCATAAAAAGAAAAATATAGCACATTATTTTTTTTTCAAATTGGGTTTTAAATATTATGTAGGTTTTATCGAATCACCCTGTATAAAATATAACTTATATTGTAATTTATTAGCTTCATTGTAAGTAAGTTTAATTGTAAGTAAGTTTCATTGTAAGTAAGTTTAATTGTAAGTAAGTTTCACTGAAAGTAAGTTTCATTGTAAGTAAATTCCACTGTAAATAAATTTCATTGTAAGTAAATTTCATTAAAAGTAAGTTTCATTGCAAGTAAGTTTCATTACAAGTAAGTTTAATTGTAAGTAAATAGGTTTTATTGTACGTAAGTAGGTAAATTTCATTAAATGTTTCATTTTTAGTTTCATTTTAAGTTTAATTGTAAGTTTCATTGACAGTAATTGCAAGTAATTTTCATTGTTAGTTTTATTGTAAAAAGATTTCATCTTGAGTAATTTTTATTGTTAAACAGTTTTTTGATTGTAAGTTTTATTGTAAGTTTCATTGTGAGTTTCATTGTAAGTTTTAGTAAAAGTAAATTTAATTTCAAGTAAGTTCATTGTAAATAAGTTTCATTATAAGTAAGTTTCAATGTAAATAATGTTCACTGTAAGTAAGTCTAATTGTAAGAATGTTTATTTGTATGTAAGTTAAATTGTAAGTTTAATTACAAGGTTCATTTTAAGTAAGTTTAATTGTAAGTTTCATTGCTAGTGAGTTTAATTGCAAGTACATTTTGTTATAAGAATGTTTCATTAAGAGTAAGTTTTATTGTAAGTAAATTTAATTATAAGTTAATTTCATTAAAAGTAAATTTTATTGTAAGAAAGTCTCATTATGAGTGAGTTTAGTTGTAAGTAAATTTAATTGCAAGGACTTTTCATTGTTCATAAGCAAGTTTCATTGTAAAAAGATTTGATCCTAAGTAATTTTTATTGTAAATAAGTTATTTTGATTGTTTTATTGTAAGTCAATTTTATTGTAAGTTTTATTAAAATTAAATTTCTTTCAAGTAAGTTTCATTGTAAGTAAGTTTTATTGTAAATAAGTTTATCTGTAAGGTTTATTGTAAGTTAATTCCATTGTAAGTAATTTTCAATGTAATTAAGTAAGTTTAGTAGTAAGTATGTTTATTGTAATTAAGTTTAATTGTAAGTTAAGTTTCATTGTAAGATTCATTTTAACTAAGTTTCATTGTAAGTAAGTTTAATTGTAAGTTTCATTGCAAGTGATTTTCAATGCAAGTGAGTTTCAATGCAAGTATATTTCATTGTAAGTAAATTTGATTATAAGAAAGTTTTTAGTTTTTATGTACTATTGAATCACCCTGTATAGAATATAACTTGTATTGTCGAAAATATTTTTTACTGGCTTTTCAATGATGTATGAGAAGTATGGTGTTGTAATTTATTAGTTTCATTGTAAGTAAATTTAATAGTAAGTAAGTTTTATTGTTAGTAAATTTAATTGTGTTTCATTATAAGTAAATTTCATTAAAAGTAAATTTTATTGTAAGCAAGTTTCCATTGTTAGTTTCATTATAAGTTGCATTGTAAATAAATTTTATTGGTAATTGTATTGCAAATAAATTTTATTGTAAGCAAGTTTCATGAGTTTTACGGTAAGATAATTGTAAGTTTCATTATTAGTTAGTTCAATTGTAAATTTGTTTCATTGTAAGTTTTATTGTAAGTTTGGTCGCAGGAAATTTTCATTGTAAGTAATTTTCATTGTAAATAAATTGAATTGTAAGTAGATTTTATGGTAAGTTAATTTCATTGAATGTAAGTTTTATTGTAAGTAAGTTTTATTGTAAATAAGTTTAATTCAAGTAAATTTTATTGTAAGAAAGTTTTAATATGAGTAAGTTTTATTGTAAGTAAATTAAATTGTAAGTTAATTTTATTGTTTATTTCATTAATAGTAAATTTTATTTTAAGAAAGTTTCATTATGAGTAAGTTTCATTGTAAGTAAATTTAATTGCAAGTAATTTTCAGTGTTATTTTCATTATACATGAGCAAGTTTCATTGTAAAAAGATTTAATCCTAAGTAATTTTGTTTCATTGTTTGTAAATTTTATTGTAAGTTGCATTGTAAATTTCAATGTAAGTTTTATTAACAGTAAATTTCATTTCAAGTAAGTTTCATTGTAAATTTTATTGTAAATAAGTTTATTTGTAAGGTCCAATGTAAATAAAGTTCATTTTAATTTAAATGTAATTTGAATGTAATTTTCAATGTAAGTGAGTTTAATTGTAAGTATGTTCATTTGTAAGTTTCATTATAAGTAAATTTCATTGAATGTTAATTTTATTGTAAGTAAGTTTCCTTGTTAGTTTCATTGTAAGTTGCATTGTAAATAAATTTCATTGTTAGTTTTATTGCAACTAAGTTACACGGCAAGTAAGGTAATTGTAAGTAAGTTTCATTATTAGTTAGTTCACTCATAAATTTGTTTTATTGTAAGTAAATTTTATTGTAAGTTTGGTTGCAGGAAATGTTCATTGTAAGTAATTTTCATTGTAAATAAATTGAATGATAAGTAAGTTTTATTGTAAGTAAGTTTCCTTGTTAGTTTTATTGTAAGTAAGTTTCATTGCAAATAAGTTACATTGTAAGTAAATTTCATTGTAAATAAATTTCATTGAAAGTTTTAGTGTAAATAAGTTTCACTGTAAATAAGTTTCAATACAAAATTTTATTGTAAGTAAGTTTTATTGTAAGACTTATTGTAAGTTTTTAAATTGTCACACTGTATATGTCATGTATGCTTTTATAAGCCTAATAAAAGAGAATTGTCATTATTAATTTATTTGTTGTAAATAATCATGTTTTAAGTGTTTCCTTGCCAAACAATTCCAAGGATAAAATGAGACCTTAAATGGGAGTTACCAATTGACTTCTGACAGTGATCACATACAAAATTATGACTTACTTTAAAATGTTTTAACCCTGTTTGAAAATTTACGATATTTTTCATTTTTTCATTTATTAAATTATCTAATTTATAATAATACAGGTTACATTATCTCACGTTTTTTGTAAAATTTACTATTTTCCATAGAATGGACGAAGTAGCCCTTGTTGACCTTCCTGCCAGCTTCAACACGATTCTTAAATACACGGCACCAGGAAGCAAGATCATCTTCATTGGACATTCCCTAGGAACAGCTGTATCCTTAATGTACACAGCTGAATATCCAGATATATCCAGTCGGGTCGTTAAGATGTTGGTATTGTTATGCCCCGCATACACTTTGAGCAATATGATATCACCGTATAGAACTCCAGCACCAATGGGTGATTTTGTATTGGTAAGTTTTAATTTAAATTCTATTTACCCTCATAGTACCTACTACTTACCGTGACTCACTACAGTTTTCTTGGTCTAACAAATTTTAAAACTTCTATTGAAATTGTCAAATGATAATTCTGAATTTTTCCAAAAAACAAGTTCACCCTAAGCAGTTACCAGTCATTCTTTTTTGATGTTATAGAGTTTCATACACTAAGAATATTAATTCCTTATAAAGTAATCTTTCATCACGGTTTTCTTCGTCTATGACTTTTTTCTTTTCAAGCAACCCTACTGTTTTTATAGTGATTATCCTTTTTGTATCCTTTGAGTAAACATCACATCTAAGCTGTTTTCTCTCTATTAATACTTTTACGTTGAGGTTTTGCTAACTCTAAGTCTCAAAGAATGATCAAAAATTAAATAAAAATGCAAAGGTTTATTAGATACAGGATCAGAAATCTGAATAATTAAGATATATCTTACAAATACATCGATGAATTTGTCTTCTATATTTTCCAAATATATACAGGAATTATATTGAAAACTACCTCTTTTATTCATCTACCGATTTCACCACAGTGACAAATGCTTTTGGTTTATGTCAAATTCTTTATTTAAATATCTTTATTTTTCCAGTTATGTATCTGACATTTAAAGAGTATGTTTTTAATTATAGGATACAATTAGAAGGTTACGGTTAGAAAGAATCGTATCTCAAGCGCAGGAACTTAGAAGATTGGTGGTACCACCTTGTATGGAGTCCCCAGAAATGATGCAAAACTGTATGCAAATGTACAACCTGTTCTATGGACCCAATACTGATTTAGGACCGGTAAGAGTAATTTGTAATTATAATCTTTGGGAAGATTGGTTTGATGATTGGGTCATCTATGTCTGGAAGATCAGAGTTTGGTAATTTTTTTCTTTTAATTGGTTGGAAGATATTTTGTAAGTGATCTGCGAATCTGTTAACTTTTGTTCTAGCATAGCTTATTCTATGATTTTAAAAGACATATTATTATAGTTAATTTCCAAGGTTTACTTCATCATAATATCCACGTCTTTTGTTAAAAGACATGGTTGAGTTAGACAAAATTGGTTTTAAGTCAGTAGACTCGATTAGGGTAAATCTAAAGATATAAAAATTATGATATTTCTTGACCTAGGCTCTAAATGATAGTATATCAACATATTACAAGTATAATCATTTTTAATAGCTATAGAGCAATCATTTTGTAGAATATACTCACCCAGGTGGAAACTGATTCATATTTGCTGGAAACTATACAAATTAGCAAAGGTGCTATAGAGCCTACACGTTAGAACCAAGGTGGTATTTATATAGAAATTAATTTTTCAACTTTGAAACTTGATACAAATAATTTGAATAAATAATAAATATACTTGTGAATGTTAATTAACATTTAAAATTTGATATCTTGGTACAAAGTAGTGAGTACTATCAAGTTTTAAACTTGGTGAAAGATTGAGAGTGGGTGGAATAAAACCCAAAGGCTTTTTTAAAGGTTACAGCCATAAAGAGTCGTTAAATATCAAGTTAGCCAAAATAATAAATAATAGAAGTTTTAAAAACATTATAGTATATTTTTCGATTTTAAAATATAGCCAATTGCAGATTTTTATTTATAATATAGATGCTTTCATTTATTTTCAATTTATTAGTAATAATAAGAAATCAATTTGGTTTTTAGGAAAGCATTCCAGTTTACTTTAACCAATTGCCTGGTGGAACTTCCATAAAGATTTTAAACCACGCTGCTGATCTAGTTTTGGGAAATTTTAGAAAATACAACTATAAAAGACTTAACTACAAAGTGTATGGTAGAAAATCCCCACCGATTTATAATATTAAAAAGCTCAAAGTTCCTGTTTACCTCGTGTATACCTCTCAAGATTGGGCTACACCAGAGGCTGTAAGTATAATAGTTTTTTGTACACAGTAATGAAATAGTTGTTTTTGTAATTGAAACATGAGTGGATATAAGACAGTGCTTGAGTTTTTTTTGACTTTACTTTAAAATTATTCTGTTAAAGATAAAGAAGACGAAAACTTGAAAGATAATTATAATAAATTATTAATAGGTAATTTTTTAAGATAAATCCTTAAAGGATGACGATAATTTTTATTTTCACTCAAGGCTTTTTACTTTCATGGTTATCTTTAAATTTTTTCATTTATATATTGTTTTATTTAATAAATATATTTGTATTTATTTTTAGGACGCCTTGAATTTGTGGAGGAACCTGCCCAAATCCAGCAGATATGGAATGTTAAAGATTAATAGAAATACGTTTAATCACATCGATATGGTCTTTGGTAGACATGCTAGAGAGTGGGTGTATGATCCTTTAGTAAGAGTATTAAATAAAGCCATAAGCGAGTAAATTTTTATTTGCTATTACATATATTTAAAATTATACCTTCCTGAGTTCCTGATATTTATATTGTCATTAATTTAAATTAATTTAAACTTCCATTATCGATTTGTTTTACCTATTGCACTTATTTAGTTAGTTTTTGGAGAGCTGATATATCAACTGCTATCAGCTGGTGGAGTTTATATCAGTCTTTTGTAACTAGGTTAAACGCAGTATTTTAGATAAAGTCCAATCCTGTCTACAACTTTTCAATAAAAATCTAGAGCCTAAAGAGTCTTCCAAAAATAAAAAAAAAAGATGCAACAAGTAAAAAGTTTAATGGTTTAAAAAGTATAATTTTTTCCTAAAAATAATATATTTTCTCATAATTATACCCTTCAAAATATTATTCCTTTAGATACACTTTACTTTTCGGTTGTGTTTTATTATTTTCATCAATATATTTATGATTTTCTTGTATATCGTTCCACTAAGTTAACTGTTTTATTGTTTTAACTAAAGAATCACAACTGTATCCCAAGTGATTATATTGATGTTATTAGTAGGCTAAAAGTAACATTAATAACGTTAGCCGTAACTCTAAAACAATGGCACTATTGTATTTGATGGGACACAGACATATACAGTATGGTTCAAATGAAAGGAATAAATTCATTATAATGGAAGTAGTTGGTTTTTCGAAAAAATGCTCGGACAGGTCAATTTTTTTTACTCAAAGCGCAATTTTTTAAATAAAATTCAATTTTCCCCCACTTCCCGTTTTTGGGCAGTGACGTCATTGAAATTTTTTTTAAATAGTAACCCCAATTTTTTTTCTTGATTTTGAAAGATCTTGCAATTTCCTACTCGGAAACATAATATTTGAAATATCTGACATAAAAATTTTTTTGAATAAAAGTCATTTAAAGATCAGATACATAAATTTTATTTTACTTTGAAACACAGTAAATGAATAAAAGATTTTTTGTAATTAAGTGCTTCATCTAAAATAATAATAATAATAATTTAATAACCATTTTACAAATTCTTTTTTATTATTATTATTAATTATTATTATTATTTTGTTAGATTAAGCACTTAATTACAAATTATTATATTATATTCATTTATTGTGTTCTGAAAATAAAATAAAATTTATGTTTCTGATCTTTAAATGACTTTTATTCAAAAAAAATGTTATGTAAGATATTTCAAATATTATGTTTCCGAGTAGGAAATTGCAATATCTATCAAAATCAAGAAAAAAAAATTGGCGTTACTATTTAAAAAAATTGTCAATGACGTCACTGCCCAAAAATGGGAAGTGGGGGAAAATTGAATTCTATTTAAAAAATTGCGCTTTGAGTAAACAAAATTGACCTGTCCGAGCATTTTTTCGAAAAACCAACTACTTCCATTATAATGAATTTATTCCTTTCATTTGAACCATACGGTATATAGATTACCTATCACTAGAGATATTTCTTTGATAGTTTTAATGGTTCTAATGTAGATCAATATTTTTTTGTTCTACAGTTCTGTCTTCCGCTTGGCACAGTTTCTACGGCGTACATTAGTATTTTCTTATTTTTTATTTTAGATATATAACCCCCATAAATTTAAATACCTTTACTCTTTAAGAATCACCTTAAGTGTTTTGTTGTTTTAGTAAAGACAACAAGGTTCAAAAACAAAGCCATTTTCTATCCAAAGTGTGAATATAAAATGGCGGAGTCAACATATTTTATACTGGTGTCGCCATCTATGGACGAGTCCCAAAAACAAAGAGTAGACGTTTGAATACGTTCCTTGTTTTGGAAACTCGTCTATAGATGGTGTTACAAATATAAAAGAAATATAATCTATGTTTATTAAGTGGAATAAATTTTTTTTCTTTGTGTATATTTATTGATAGATATAAGATTTAATAGAAAACAATTTAAGTCATTTTTTGCTCTATCAAATTTTTTTAAATGAGTGTTTTTTAAAATAATGTATTATACATATATACCTAATTTATTTTAAATTTTTATAGTAGTCAGATACGTTCTATGAAGAGCTATACAATGTAAAATATTCATTAGATTTTAATTAAGCATAAAACATTTAAAATAAATTCCTCATAAAATTGTTTAGTAATATATTGTACATTGATTCGATAAATTAAGTTTCCATCATTTCACTTCAGTATTTATTGAATAAATATAAAATAAATTATTTGTACTGCTTTTTATTTATTTATTTTTTCCTATCTTACTTAAGGTGTGCCACAAAAAACTAAGAACAAGTAAGATTTAAACTTGGAATGCAGGGGAAATTAACTTTTAAAGGTTAGCAACAAAATCCAGGAAGGTTCGCAAACAAACTCCAATCAGGCATCTCTAAGGTGGGTCATTCCTTGCCAGAAAATTTGTGTAACTGGCATTAATTCATCTCTTAGCCTCTTTTTAGTTTTACCTAGACAGATATTTTATCTTTGACGATGACATTGGAACACACAATTTCGTTTTTGTAACGAAGTAGTTACATTACCAGAACATGTTTTTTATTCGTGCAGATCCAAAAAGTCGTCGAATTTTTGTTCTCTCTTTTGGAGCAGTATTTGTAGCTAGATTCAAATAAAATATTTATTTTTCGTGCTTTCGATTATGTGACACACCAGGGCACAATAGAAAAGAGTGAAGTATACACGTAATCAAAACTTGAAGTAATGTTATCAGCAAATTTTTGCTTGTATTTATCCCAAAATTATTAGTATAATATTTTTAAAATGATGTTTTTCGTTATTTTCGACCAATATTTAAAGTATATACGAAATTTCATAATATTCTATGCTTTTCTTAATTTTTGAGATTCAACAAAGGATTTTTTGTCAATTTCCTAGATTTTTATCGTGGATCTGTTGCTAGGTCAAATCAATTATTGATCTCGTTTTAGGTATGGCAATGGCAACGTTGCACTACGAGCAAATGCACGTGTTTGTAAGCTCCAGCCATTTTTTAATTTTTGAGTTGTAAAACAAGGTTTAAAATTCTAATTTTGTCTCCAACATATGTTAAAAATGTTTATAACCTAGTTTATGATTGAAAACTATACTAGATAGTATTGCCAACTGCAAATTTAAAGTTAATTATAATGTATACTTCGGTCCGGTCCACTAGAACACATATTGTAGATACTGGAGTTAATCCTGCTATAAAAAATGCTGTCGGTAAATCTTTGCCTCTCGTCTGATCTACTTTGTCATAAATGGCGTTCACTGTCAAAGAAAGAAAAAAACGAGGTTGGAATGGTTTATACCAGAAAATTGCAAATCATTCCAAAATGGTTTAGGTACTGGCTGTGCATTTCTTGTTTCAGACACTAATTATATAGAATCATTTAAATTACCCTGCTTCTGTTCTATATTCACAGCTGAAGCAGTGGCGATTCTAAAAGCCTTAGATTGGTGCAAAGCAAATTCATTTCAGAATATAGTTATAGTGTCTGACTCCCAATCAGTTCTGCAGGCTATTGATAGCCCTTCCATAAGTCAAAACAAAAACGCGGTAATATTATCCATTAAGAAAATTATATTTGACCTTAAACAGTGTAGCGTTAAAGTTTCCTTGGTTTGGATTAAAGGACATTGTGGCATTGCAGGAAATGAACATGTGGATAGGGCTGCTAAAGAAGCATGTAGTTTAGAACAAATTACATTATTTTGTAGTTTTATAGATATTATTAGCATTTATAAAAAATATTTAAGAAGTAGATGGGAAATTAAATACACTGAGCATGCGAAGGCATCACAAAGTCACTATTATAGTATACATCCAAATCTTCCTAAGAATATTCCTTACATCAGTTCATGGAACTATAATAAATATCAGTCATCTATAATTACTCGTTTGAAGCTCAATCACGGCCGATTCCCTGCACATTTATGTTAAATTGGAATATTGGATTCTCCCTTTTGTCCATATTGCAATATAAACGCTGTAGCAGATATCAATCATTTATTTTTAGATTGTAATAAAAATGCTCAACATACCACCGTATTGTATCAAGATTTAAATAAACTTTCACTCCCACTTCCACTCAATATTTCTTCACTTTTAGTTCAATCAGATAAGATAATTTTTGACGCAATTATTAAATTTACTCAAAATACTAAAATAGATATTTAACATAATATATATAAAAATTATTAAGTTAAAACTTTCTGTGGTAAATCGACTTGCATGTCTGATGCCATCCCATTACAAAAAAAAAAAATAAAAATAAAAAAAAAAAAAAAAAAAAAAAAACCTAAAGAGACCTTATCATCCAGATTCATCCCGAACAATATCTAGATGGATAAGATACGTCTTTTAAAAAGCAGGCATTGATACAAAAAGTTTTACAGAGTGTAGTATCTGCAGCCTAAAGATCAGGAGCTAGTATTGAGGCAATAAGAACTGCTGCTGAATGGTCTGAAGGATCACAAACATTTTTTAGATTTTATAATATTAAGCTACGATATCCTAACTGCAAAAGACATAGTTCTTAAGGATAAATATAAGGTGATACGTCGAATACAATAAAACTATAGCTTTAAGGTGAGTACTATTGATAGTTTTGTTCATTAATTTGTTTCCTAGGAATTTCATATATGACTTTTTTAACTTCTTTTTTATATTTTATGTTATTACTAATTATTTTTATTCTTTCAGGCAATTTATTATAAATTTTGGGTGCCAGATAAGCAAACGATCTCTGACTCAAAAATTTACTTAAATGTGGAAGAACATGTAAATTTTTATTACGTGTATTCTAATCGTGATTAGGTACATTATTGTTTTTACAATTGAAGTGAAATTTTTGAGCTACACAATAGAAATACAACTGCATAAGGTCCAATATTTTACTTTCTGAAAATAAGGTCACTGGGATACAGTCTTTCCCGAGAAAAAATTACTTTCAAAAATCTTTTTTGTAATATTTCAAGTAAGTTTATAGGCACCTTAAAGCATTTCCCCAAACTATAATACGCTACCTAAAATGGCTTTCTGCGAGAGCATAGTAGAGTGTTATTAGCTGCTTTTCTGGAATGTATTTTTTTAAATATTTGAATTTGTACAGAATGCTTTGAAGTTTTTTAATAGTATAGTTGATATGGAATTCTCATTTCAAATGACTACATATATTCCAAGATATTTAATTTTGGATACCTGCTTTAGCACACAGGGATGTCCATTAAATTGTTCAAAAAGTTGATTAAATGGAGGAAGACCTCTAATATTGCAGCTAAATTGTAAGTATATAGTTTTTTCTAGATTTAAAGTAAGAGACATGTTATCAAACCAATCTTTTATTTTAATGAAATCTTTTTTACTATATTTTTAAGTTCATTCCAATTTTCAGCATTATAAAAAATTGCAGTATCATCTGAAAAACCTAAAACATTACCTCTGCTCTCGATGGAAAACAGACCATTGATGTATATATTGAACAGTATGGGTCCTAAGACACTGCCTTGAGGTACTCCGTACTCAATTATCTGTCGACTACTAAGTTTTCCCATTTATTCTTACAGATCTATTGGTTAGGTAGCTTTTAAATAAAGATATACAGTTTCCTCTTATTAATATGTCTTCTAGACATTGTAAGAACAAGTGGTAATCAACGGTATCAAACGCCTTACTAAGATCTAGAAGTAGACATAAACATGGTTGATTTTGCTCCAGATTTTGATATATTTGGGTTATCAAAGCTAATAAGACATCATCTGTAGATTTTTCTTCTTTAAAACTACATAGGTGATAAGATTTCGCATTTGTTTAAAAAAGAATTAAGTCTAATTTTTATTAGCGACTCAAAATTTTTTGATAAGTTAGTCAATAGAGAAATTGGTCTGTAATTACTACATATAGCGGTATCATCTTTTTTAAAGATAGGTACTACGATAGAGGTTTTGAAAGCTGTTGGAAAAATAGCTTGTTTAATGCAATTATTTAGTATGTATAAGATGCCACAACTTTTAAAACTTCTGCACAAATATTATTATAACCCGGCGACTTCTTATTTTTAAGCCTTTAATCAAATTTAAAACTTCAATTTCATTTGTTTCTAGGAACACCATTGAATTATTTTGTAGAGTTTTAGTAAACTTATAAGAATTATTATTTACGTTTTTTTGACAAATTCTTTCCCACTTTAGCAAACTGTACATTAAATTCATTGCAGATGTCGTTAGCATTTAATAACATTTCATCATCTTCAGTTTTAATTTTTTCAATTTTAGTTTGGAGTTTTGTATTCCCACTCAGACTTTGGACAATGCGTCATAGTTCGCTAGAACTGCCTTTATTTAAATCAATTTGTTTTTTAAAATAGTTAAATTTAGTGGATTGAATTTATTTGTTAATGCGTTTCGATAACTCTTATACTTATTTTTTAATTGCAAATTATTTGGTGTTTTCTCTAATTGTTTAATTATATTGTTTTCTTTATTTATCATATCTAGTAGCGAACTTGTGATAGATGGTGCAATTGTTTTAGTTTTTCCATTAAAAATTCTAAAAGTAGTACTTTTTTGTATAATATTGGATAGTATATTTACAAGTTTATTCATTGTAGATTCTGGATCATCCGTGGAGTACACCCAATCTCATGAAACGGTTTTTACCATATCAAGTATTTTGTTATGATTTATATGTTCTATATAATTTTTGTGATTATGCTGTAAATAATTTTCATGTATAATTATTTGTAAAATAGTATTTTATACCTATAGTAATTTATACCTAGATAATATTAATAATATTAAAAATGAAAGAAAATTATATATGTATAAATTAAAATTATTTTTAATATTTTATTACAAGGTGTGTATCTTGTCATATAATTTCTTTAAATTATATTACTTAGAAAAGTATCTAATAAATAATTATTAAAACAATCAACTTATTTATCCAGTAAATGTTTTTTTTTTTTTTAATTAATAACAATAAACAAATTAAAATTATTTATGAATATTATACAACTGCTAGATCACAGTTTACTTTAAACATCTACAATTTTGTATTCTAGTGGACCGGACCTCGTATAATTATGATTGAATTTCCTTACAGGTAAGTCGTTTAATCCTGAAATATACTCAATAATAAAATTATAGCAGAACAACATGGCAAATCCTCCGATAAAAACTTACGGTGAAATTCCAGTTCTGGCAATACTGGTAAAGCAATTAAACTTGTTGCAAGATAATCAAGCCTAAATCGATCACTGAAATGGCATGTAAAAGATTAGAACATACAATTGATTTTAAATTTTCTAAATTTACTCAAAAATAATGGAAATTGACACTAGAGTAACTAAGATTGAAAAAAGACAGCAAATGAATGAAGAGAAAATAAAAAGTCTGAATAATTCATTAGAAACCTATAAGAGAATGAGAAATTTAAAATAAATGGTTTACCGGAAGAAAACCAAGAAAACATTATTGATGTTGTCTTGCATTTAGTAAATAATATTTTAAATATTAAATATTTAAGACAGGATAATGATGATGTATACAGGAAAAATCAGAAAACCAATAGACGTAGGCCTGCAATGAAAAATAAGGTATGTATGACAAAAAATCTGCTTAAAAATTCAGGTATTTAGATTAGATTGGATTATATTTATTTTAAAAGGAATTGGACATTATTTGTCCTCGCCCACCGCGACCTTTTTGAATTTCCGTTTGGCTTTTCTTCGCCTGTTAAAAACCTCAATCTAGCCAAGCTTTCATACTGACACACAACGTGGATTGACATTTCCTCTTCTTCTTCTTTACAGAATCTGCATAAAGTTGCTTCTTCTGCTAGATTAATGACACTCATGTGTCTTCTTAGGCGACAGTGTTTGGTAAGAAGACCTACTGTTTTTGAGTCTTTCGTGTTTGACCTGTCTCAGTTTTGGATAGTTGTTTCACCATTCCTGAGAATCAGGTAATACAATCCATGAAGACTTATCAAAGGCACAACATGATCTTGTTGTATTGACAAAAATAAATATAGAGGACAATTGGTCTAAATAGTAATTAGCAGATTGTTTTTCATGGTTAATGGTCACAAGAAATTCATAGATGAACATGACCTGAAAATTATTTTGAAGGTCTTTTGAATTCACTGAAAGAGTAGAGAAAGTGTTCTACTTGTACACTGTACACAATGTTATCTTTAAGTGAAGGAAAAAAAAATTCTACTTGACAACATCGTAGATTTTTTATCATTTATCGTACTAATATTTTATACATTATCTATAATGTTCTAAAAAAATTCAATACCGAAATATTTAAATATTGTTTTTATATTCTTTTTGTATTTTTTCAGGAAAATATTTAAAATATTTAATAATTCTTAGTTTTTTCGTTCATACACTCGTTATAAAAAATATTTTCCAATTAAATTTTTGACGATTTTATAGATTATAAACGTTTGTGATTATCGTGTTTGATTATTCTTCTCTTAGATGCATTCAACTTTTACCAGTCACCAATTTATTGGTGTCTCACTCTTCTTTACAGTTACCCAAATAAAGAAATTGGAAAAGGAGGTCAACAGCGTTCTTCGCTGACCATCTTCCGTACGTAGATACAAGTTCACGGTCTTGAAAGGTTTCACTGCAGTATCCAAGCAAACAAGATCAATTTCATTAAAGTCTTTCTTGTAGTGAAGAAGGCATAATTACTTGCATATTTGATTCCAATTTAATCAGTGTTTTCGCTGTTTCGTAGGTTTATAATTTTGCTTGTTTCTGATTTGTTTTCTAATATATGTTTCGGTTTTAATGACCATGGTTCGGACAATTTTGTGCTCACTAGTTTTAATTTTATCAGTGAATAGTGTGTGGTCTGCTAGATACGTTCCCAAATGGAAGAAACAGGTAAGTTTGAGAGTTTTCGTATATAGGGTGGGTCAATTATTTTTTAAACTATATTTCTCTATATTGCCTTTCTAAGTCAAAAAAGCGGTATTTAAAAAAAACCTGTTTCGTTTTTGAACGTATGAGATAGCTTGAAAAGAACTAATAAATATCCGTATCTAACTCATAGTATTAAAAAAATCTAAGAAAAATTTACATATAGTGTGTAAAAACCAAATTGATTGGTTAATTAAGTAATTAATTATTTACTGTGCATATTTATAAATAATCTCGAAATACGTTAATTTTAGATCATAAAATCTAGTAACCACAAGTGTTAATGGGCTCAACTTAATTCTATGATTAGTTTTACAATATACGGGGAGAGGGGTTTAAAATTAAATGACCAGTTTTTCGGATTTTTCATTTATTTTTGGTAAACCACTAAAAACCAATAAAATATAAGTATCTCCAAGCTTCAAAATATACAATTTATCCGGTCAAATGTAACCATTTTCTCAATATACAGGGTGTCTGTAAAAGGTCTTTACAAAAACATACCACATATTCCTTAGACCAAAATAAGTCGATTTAAGTAAAATTACCTTAGTACAAAGTTGCTTCGTTTGGGCTCCAGAGGGCCTTGAAGTTACAATTTTTAAATCGTTTTTCCCATATAAATTTAAAACGGCATATGCGATTTTGCTGAAGACCCCGTATAATAATGTTAATACATTTTTAACAGGTATGGATTTTAAATCCGATAGTATAGCCAGTTTTCAAGATACTGGGTATTACAGTGGAGAATCGCTGATTTGAATTATTTTGTCTTCAAACTGAAGAGCTGGATTGACTGTAGGGATCATATAAAAGTTGAATATAAGTTTTGAGCAGATGTCCATGGACAGTTTTAAATATTTTTACGAACACTCAATAATTCTGCAGTTGTACCACAGAAAACTTATTTCAATAAGATAATATCTTCCCATTCACAATTTTGAGGTTAATAGATTTTGTTATGTGTACTTTTTATACAGGGTGCGCCATGCAGCCATCCAACAATAATAAATGTTTTGATATTATTAAAACAAGACCTTGCATTTCTTTAATGACTTTTGAATGAAAAAAAAAATATTTTTGTTAAATTTATGTTTTCTGTTTTTAAGATACAATGTATGGATATACAATCACACGCTGTGTATAATTTTTTTTTATTAATTGCGTTTATTACTTTACTACCCTGTACCTATATGTTGTGCTTATTTATACTGTCCTAATTTTAAATATAAGTAGCGGTGCTAGTAGCGGTTAAGTGTGTATTGTTCTTTTGTGTTTTATAATTGTGCTCCCGACTGTTCAAGTGCTCCCTACTCTAAAGTATTCTGCATTTTACATGTTACTAATCATAAAACGGTTAAAGACAATTGGCCGCTCGTCGTAATATCGCTTTCAATTTCAAAAACAGATCGCCCATCACTATTTAATAGCACATTTGTTAAAAGCATAAAATAATCTGAAATTCTTGGTGTTTTGATAACGTCAGCTGAAACCGAGTCATTATTTGTTATAACTAAATCTATCAGCCCACCACTTCTATTTGGTCTTGTGCATTCTGTAACAATATTTTTTAATTCAGTATCAATTAAAATATCATTTAATTTCGCACTGTAAGTGTTTTTAGTTAACAGGTCACTATTAAGGAGGTCGTTTCGCCACACCTCTCGCCTCAAATGTTAAAAAAAAAGTTATTAGATTATGACTAAAATTAATTTTTTTCTAATAGTTGAAGTCCTTATTTATCTAATACTGAACTTTTAACTATACCTTACTTTGCAAATTTTTAAGAATTTTTTTTTTAAAAAATGTGAGTATTTGTACAGTGCCTCACGAGAAAGTAAGTCCTCAACAACAATTCTCGAATTATACTATTATTTATTGATTAGATGGAGTAGAAAAAAATCTAAAAATAAGGTTTTTGAAATATTTAGATTTTGTTTTATGCAATAAAATATATATAGTAAACCATGGAACTTATTGAGAAATTAATATTAAAAAATCACAAAAAATTTTCAAGTAACCTAGTTGAAAATTTTTTGTGATTTTTAATAATAATTTCTCAATAAATTCCACGATATATTTTATTGTAAAAAACAAAACCTAAATATTTCAAAAACCTTATTTTTAGTTTTTTTCTACTCCATCTAATCAATAAATAATAGTAAAATTAATTATAATTCGAAAATTGTTGTTGAAGTCTTACTTTCTCATAAGACACTGTACAATCACACACATTTTAAAAAAAAAAAATCTCAAAAATTTGCACGGTAAGGTATAGTTAAAAGTTCACTATTAGATAAATAAGGACATCTACTATTAGAAAAAAATTAATTTTAGTCATAATCTAATATTTTTTATTTAACATTGGTGGCGAAAGGACCTCCTTAAAATCTCCAAAAACAATAACTATTTGAGAATTATCACATAAATTTTCTTCAGCCCAAGAGCTAAAACAATCTAAAAAATGTATACAGCTACTGCTAGGTGACCTATACAGGGTGTTATTGAAATACACGTACATATTAAAATGGGGAATAGTATGTAATGACCAAAAACGGTTGGCACCAATTTTAACTTCAAATTCTAAAATTTAAATATTGGGGAAGAGTCCCCTTTTCCGACCTACTAGTTTCCATATTTAAAGAAGTAAAATAAATCGAAATTAAACTTAGCCATAGAAATTGCACTGTTGCCGTAGCAAAACCAATTAATTCAAAATAAAGTTTATTACAGTAATTGTTCAAAATGCCGTCCATTATTATTTACACACACTTGCAATCGTCTTTCCAAAGAACTTTGAACATTAGAAATTAGTCTTGGATTTTGTCGTAGTTCCTCGGCTACCGCATTAACTTTATTGGTTAATTGTTCAACACTATTAATAGGTTCATTATAAACCAGTTGTTTCATGTGACCCCACAAAAAAAAATCGCATGGATTTAAGTCCCGAGATCTCGGAGGCCACTTAGTAGGTCCATTTCTGCCTATCCACTTTTGAGGAAATCTAATGTTCAAAAACTGCCGTACGTTTAAATCAAAGTGAGGAGGAGCGCCATCTAGTAGGTACCACATCCGTTGCCTTAATTGTAACGGTATCTCTTCTAGGAGTACTGGCAAAATATCTTCTAAAAAGTGGAGATATCCTGGCCCATTTAATCTGTTCGGGAGAACATAAGGCCCGATTAAATACTGATCTATTATGCCAGCCCAAACATTTATTGAAAATTTTCTTTAATGTCCAGTTTCCCTAATGGCGTGAGGATTTTCATCACTCCAAATATGCGTATTGTGCATATTTAACACGCCATCACGAGTGAATGAAGCCTCGTCAGTATACAATAATATTTATAGAAAATCAGGAATATCAACACATTTTTGAATCATCCATTCACAAAACTCCACTCTTTTCTTCATCACCTGGATATAAGGCCTGGACTTTTTGGATGTGATAAGGATGTAAACCTTGTTCTTTAAGTGTCCGCCACACAACAAATGAGGACACTCCAATTTCAAGACCTAGTCTTCTACAACTTAATTGAGGCCGGTTTTCAACAGCTTCCAATATTTCTTCTTCGGCCGCCAATGTTCTTTGTGTTCTTGTTCTCCCTCGATCTGCATTGACACTCTCAAATTTTCCATGGTCTCTTAGATGCTGAACAGTTGAAATAAACGTACGACAGTCCGGAATTCTCCGATTTGGAAACCGTTCGCGATACAGGATTTGTGCTTGCCGAGAATTTTCTCCAGCTGCCCCATAAACCAGCACTATATCCGTTAGTTCAATATTCGTAAATAGTGGCATCGTAAAAAAATATTTAAAAGTAATCGTAACAACACTTTTTACCAACTTGGAAATGACGCGCTCGTGTTAGCCAGATTCGTAAATCAACTAAAATTTTAATAATTTATAGTTTCAAAAATGTATAGTTTAAAAACAATAATTTATCAAATATTCTAGTTTTTTGATAACGAGGGTAGTAAAAACCAGTCTTCGGAAATAGAAATTAATTCGAAAATCTTGGCAACATGGTTATTTCTTACAAGACTAGTTTTCTTATCATCTGACAAAAACTTGCATATTAATTACTGTTGATGTTTAAAATAGGTAAATAAACCTAATTTATATAGGTCATCCTCAACATATCAGTGAAGTACATTTGTTTTAGAATTAATTTTCAAAAATTAATAACTCGCTTAATAAGGGGTATTTTTAAAAAATAATATTTTTCTACATTCAGTGGGGATCTGCGCAATACCCAGTTTTAATATGTACGTGTATTTCAATAACACCCTGTATAAAAATGCAATTAAAAAATGTTTATTTCCTAATATTACCATCACAGAAACAATCCAACAAATTTTTGGAATACAAAATTTAAAATACTTTAAAACCTTCAGTTCACTTTGTACATAAATTGAAGCACCCCCTGTGTGTCTAGTTTCACTGTCAACTCTATAATTTTTGTATCCGTCAATGTCTATTTCTGAATCATTAAATATCGTCATTCAAGCAAGTTTCAGAAACACATACTAACCTTGGTTTAGAGATTTCATCAATGTGGGCCACCAAGCTCTCAGCATTTAAATATAATATATTTATTGCACTTTTTCATTTTGATCTTGAGTTTGAGACTTTGTGGGAAAATCCTTATTAACTGTGGGTGTGATAGATACATTATCAATAGTAGGAATAGTTAAATTATTTAAACCTGTCAAATCTATGGAACCCAAGTTACTATTATCAAAAGGAAGAAGAGTTAAATTATGTAAATCTGTGCAGGGGCCGATGATATGAGCGTCCAACTTTTTGTTCGCAATTTCGGCGGATTTGTAGCTATTAAAAACATATATATCATCGGCGTACATTGCCGTCTGCACACCATTATCACCCACGGGTAAATCACAGGTCATAATAGTGTACAAGTGTGGCGATAGTACTGAGCCCTGCGGTACTCCCGCCATCA